AGAACCGTAGGGCTCGCGATTCTGTTCGGTTCGGATTCGGTTCGTTCGGTTCGGTTCGGTTCGGGAGTTTTGTCCAACCCTAAATATAATAGCATTTTTCTTCGAAAAATTGGATTAAGCCTTGTTTAACAACTATTATTTGAAAACTTTGTCTTTTTTTTTTTTACATACTCGTTTTTAATGATACATCCATACAATAAAATATTATGTACGTAAACTCAAAATATTTTTCTATATTTTAATTCTCCTCCTAAGAATCACTATTCAATATATATATATATTTTTTCTTTTTTCTTTTTCTTTTTTTTATTTTACCAAATAATGGTCATCGAATAGGTCTAAATGCATGGTGAAATACTCAATGTGCTTCATACATCTACTGTACTTTCATAAATATTTTATTGTCCAGTCTATTCTCGATGTGAGGATGAAGACTGTAGATGAATAAAAATCACATGGCAAATTTAGACCAACTTAATAGGATGTTAGTAGAGTGATTGTTGGAATTGCTGAAATTTAGAAGAATTAAAAGATAGTTTTATTTATTGAAATTTCAAGGGTATTGGAGAGAATGCATTGAGTTCAGACCTTTGGAGGGGACCATTTACTCCTATTTATAGGCCTCTAAATCAAGCAACTTGGCCACTCGATATCACACCAGCTACAGTTTCAACTTAGAAGTCCATGCCACACCCAAATTTAAGGCAATAGCTTGTAGATGTGGCCTATGTCATAATTACTTGTCAACTCGATATTCATTGCTAATTTTTGATTAATTGCAAATGAGATGCTAATGTTATAGGTGCCATTTGTCGCTTTGGAAATGATCGTCTTGGTGACATCACTTAAGAGACATATGTTCACGATTGTAACGATGATATTTTTGGATGACAGTGGACATGGGCTAGGCTGACTTGTAATGGGTAAAGCTGATTACTCATGGTAGAACTGGCCTATAATTGGTCAAGCTATTTTGTATTGAATTATCCTTTCATGCGACGAGCTGACCTGATGATCTCTTGATCCGTTCTCTCATGCCTCATTTTCTTGAACAATTGCTAGACAATTTTGGATTTTTTTTGTCAATTGAGATGATTCATAAATTCGATGGGGCTAATGAAACTAGTGATATGTTTCTTCTTGCGCACAATCGTCTTTCCAAAGGGAAAAGGAGTTGTTCATGATTACATCTTGGAAATACTCGAAAAAATGCAACACTTTCCTCTTCAACAGACCACATTGTCGATCACAGCATAGGCTAGTGCTGGATTTAGAAGTTAGTTATTTGGGTTCGAGTTAACTAAACTACTCTATAATGCTACTTCTCAAAGTAACTGGGTTTGATCCCCCGAAGGAAAACCAAAGCTAAATATGGATACCACTCTTACATCGGATGGTGATGGTATTGGAGGATTTGTGCATAAATATGAAGGATAAGTTTTAGCTACGTTGTCTATTTTTTTTTTTTTTTTTTTTTTTTTTAGGAAAATTAGAAATAAAAAAACACACACCCCCGTCTTCTTCCTCTCACCCCTCACGCACCAACCCTATCGCTAACTCAAACCCAAAATCCACATCAACTATCGCCGCCGCCAACTCCACCTCAATCAAGAGTTATGGGCCTCCAACTTGAGAAATCCTCTAATATGGGGTTCTTAAATGAAGCATGCTGGAACTACCCCAGGCAGAAGGTACAGACAGTATTATCATCAAATGCAAATAGTGACATCTTCTTTTGACATGATAGCAGGCTCTGGGGCAGCCAAACCATACACATCCCTCGCCCTCACGTCATTTTCGTTGCTTGGGCGACACCACAAATGCCCACATTAACCTCCAATTCCATTAAAAATGGAAATTCATTTCCACCTTTTTGTCAAAAATGAGTGTTTGATAGGTAAAAAATTTTAGAGAATTCATTTTCCATGATTCTTGCCACCTAAACAATTTTCTCACTTTTCCTTGAATTAGAATTCTCATGAAAATGGTGAGAATTCCAATTCCGATTTACTGTAGAGGATTTTTTTTTGTTTTTTTGTTTTTTTTTTTTGGCAATGGAAACAAATTCTAAAAATAATTGTAAAAAAATATTTTCTTTTAATTGACAATTTTCATGTAAAACAAAGTCAAACGAACACAAAAAAATAGATGATTTTTTTTTGGTTGGCAGTGGAAACAAATTTCATCCCCAATACCAGTAAAATCTATCCCTTTAATTGATAATTTTCATATAAAACAAAACCAAATGAACACCAAAAAATACTTTTATTTCAAAATTTTCAATTTTTAGGCAATTCAATTTTCTGGAATTTGTTTTCAATTCAATTCAATTTCATCTTTGCAATCAAACAGATCCTAAATGGTGATGTAAAATAAGTATTTTATTTTTCAATTTTATACGGTTCAAGGTAAGTTTTATGGTCAATTTAAAGCCAAAAGAAAAGTCAAAATTAGTTGCCCCTCCTACTAATACAAGACCAAATTAAAACCCCTCAAAAGCCCACAATATGTCCCGTAAGGTAGTTTTATTCGTTTTATTTTGTTGTTGAATTCTTGTCAGCCAATCCAAAACGCCTCCGTGTAGATTCATCTTCCCCGTTATTCCATTCTCCGCTGAGTGCCATTTCGATACTGTTTTCTGTCAACATCATTTTCCAATTTTTTGACTCAAATCTCATCTTCTTTCCGTTTAAATTCCAGAAGCAATATTCAATTTAGTCTTAAAATGTTTGGAAAATTCAATTTGAACTACATTTTCTCTTTCTCAACCTGAATTTTCTTCCTTTATATGAGTTCTTGTTGGCTGTTCTATTGTGTACTAGAAACATCCTTCTCCGGGTTTTGCTCAAAGTTTCAAGTTTTTCTTGGAATTTCAAAGAATC